AGGGCCGGGGTTTGGGGGTGGGATGGCAGGGGTAGGGGAGCGGTTGGGCTGGGGGAGCTGAAAGGGCTTTTCCAACCCAAACGATTCTGTGATTCTATTCTATGGTTCTATGTGATGTTAAATATTCAACCAGAAGAATTAAGATAATCTTGACCTAAGAAGTGTAGTGAAATTTACTCTTCATAAAGCATTCTGAGGTCTGTGAAAGACGCTGGAAAGCCCAGGCGGCCTGGTTATTGCACGCATCTGTCTTGACATTTTCTGTGGCCTTTTGTGTTTTCTTCCTGCAGAGCTCTCAGAGCCTGTGGAACAGGCTGTCTGTGCTCCTGAACCTTCTGCCTTCTGCTGCAGACCTGCAGGAATCAGGTACTGGAGAATGCAGCGGCAGTGTAATGTTTCAGCCAGCCTAGGCATCAGTGATTTCCCTGGTGTGCGATAGATCCCGGGGTGAGAGATTTGCCAGCAGCAGTTTGCTTATAAGCACAATGGGAACCGACATCATGCGTGTGTTGTTTTTGTCTTTAAGCACCATTCCAGTTAAACACCGTCCCGTAGACTTTAGCTCATTAATGTATTATATATATGGCTGATGGTATACTGGAACACTCGTACCCGTGTGCGTGACGTCCTTGTGTGGCAAACGTGACTGGAATTAACCATCAAGCCCACAAGTCAGGGTATGATTTCTGTTATGGCAGTCATGGAAATTAGTTTTGAAGCTCCAAACGCTCCTGAGGTGCCCTGTACCTCAGCCTGAAGATCCCCATGGTTCACGAGAAGCATAGTTTCAACAGGGATGTTTGTCTGTTGGAACGAACGGGAAAGCTAAGCCTCCAAACTACAGATTTTTTCGGAAGTGGTGCACCTCAGCAGGTTGTTTGGGACAGTTACTTATATTGTGGGTGGCCTTTTTGTTCCTCCTTCCACACGTGCTCACAGCACACGTGTCATTTAAAACCTCTGCCCTTGATCATTACAGATTCTGTGCCTTAAAGCAGTTTTCCTCTTTGTCCCCACATCAGTTAAGTCATTGCTGTGCTTCCCCTCCATCCTCTCCAGGGCTGGCCCTATGTAATGAAGTCAAGGACGTTCTGAGTGGTGCTGAGCTCCCAGACCTGAAGGCCAACTTGCTGCTCCCAGAAGATGTGGCCCTGCGAAATCTTCCCCCTCTGAAAAATGCACACAAGAGGTTTAACTTTGAGCAGGACCGGCCCATTTTCTCAGCTGTTGAGGAGGTGAGTCAGGGTAAATCCTGAATCTTGGCAGGAGCTGCGTTTCCCTTTCTGGAGGCACAGCCTGTCTTAGCTGTGCGGATGAAGATCTAGTTCTTTCTTGCCAAAAAAAAAAGACCCCAAACTGATTCAAACTTTTGAGCCTGAGGTGGGCTTGTGTTACTGGTGGTTGCTGCAGTCCTCTGTCTACCCAAAAATCAGCGTTCAGAATATTGCCTTGCCTTCCCTTCCCTGTCAGTCATTATGAAAGGAAGCACGGGCGCATGTTGGCAGCTTTGCTGCACGAAGTCTCCTGACCTCCCTCTCCGAGTTGTTATCTCTGCCCTGTCTCAAATTAAAGGAATTTGGTTGGAGCTGCAAGATACTTCCTGTGATCCTTCTCTAGTAAATGCACAAGTTGGTGACATCTCACTGCATGTGGCAATCTGTGCCCTCGTAGAGGATCTCCCTCTGCTTTCCCAAGCGCAAAGGGCCACGGTGATCATTTCTGGGTAGTGGAGGTGCGCAGAGAAAGGCAATTGCTCTTCTGTCTTGCCTTGCTAGACTGATCTGATTCCTTTGGAGTGGGGAATACATTAAGGTCATCTGCCTCGATTTGAGGGCACTGTTGTGACTCCTGACATGGGACCCATGTTTGTTAAATCACACTCCAGCCGGCTGAGGCCTTGAACGTCATCTCAAGCTGCCGGGGCAGCTGGAGCAAAGCACAGCAATCTCCCAGCCCGCGCGAGTTCACCCTTTGCTGCCTTTGCTCAGCAGCCCAGCCAAGAGTAGTGCCTACCCCAAAATCAGATAGAGATTGTTGTTTCACTTGATTCCTTTTCCCAGCACCAAGGGCTTGAGCAGAGATTTGAGGAGACCCTGTTGATGTTTTCTGAGGTTTTCTTGAGTTGGGGAAGCCCAGACTTCCAAGCACCTCTAAGCTTTCTGGCCAACCCTGCAGGCCTCCCTGCAGTCTCTGTTTTCAGAAGCACATTTCCATCAGAAATGTTTCCTTTGGACTTTTTTTTTTTTTTTTTTTTTTTTTAATAGCAATTTCTGCCTTTTCCAAAAGCGTGAGCTGCAGGGTCGGAGCTGGCTCGGGCTCCAACCCCCACGGGGAGACGTGGCTGCTGCTCTCCTGTCTGCTTCTTTGCAGTCTGTTGTTCGGATTTGCTGCATTCGGAGCTTTGGCCACTTCATTACCCACTTGCAAGGCAGCATCCTGCAGTTCAACTCGGAGCTTGGGATCTTCATCAGCATAGCACAGTCGGAGCAAGACAACTTGCTGCACCAGGCCCAAGCCCAGTTTCACATGGTGAGTTGGCAGTGGTGGGGTACTTCTCTGTGCGTGGCACAATTTCCTGTGGATTACTATTAGATGTAACTGTAATCCCAGATCTTTGGTGGGAGATGAAAATTTTACTCCTTAAAGCTACTCAGGTGTCCCCTTTTTCACCCTGTTTCGGGAAGCACGTGCTTGTGTCGGCTTGTGTGTTTCCTGCTAACTGATCTGGAAGTTTGTTTTTTTTTAACTAGGCTGCAGAGGAAGCTCGTCGGAACAGGCTAATGAGAGATATGGCTCAGCTTCGACTGCAGGTAGGAGATGCTGGTTCCAGCCCCAAAACTGGCAGGGTAGTGGTTGAAATGTCTGAAACTAGGAAGCTCTCTGCTCCCGTCCCACACAGAGGCAGTAAGTCTGTTCTGCAAAGACAGAATCATAAAATGTCTCAAGTTGGAAGGGATCCATAAGGATCATTGAGTCCAACTCCTTGCTCCTCACCGGGGCTACCTAAACTAAACCGTTGTGCCTGAGAGCGTTGTCCAGACGCTCCTTGAACTCTGACAGGCTTGGTTCCGTGACCACTTCCCTGGGGAGCCCGTTCCAGTGACCGACCACCCTCTCAGTGAAGAACCTTCTAATGTCCAACCTGAGCTTCCCCTGACGCAGCTTCATTCCTTTTCCTCGTGTCCAGAGGGAGATCAGCACCTTCCCCCTCCACTGCCCCCTTAAGGAAGGTGTAAACTGCAATGAGGTCACCCTTCAGTGACGAGGTCACCCCTCAGCCTTCCCTTCCCCAAGCTGAACAAGCTGAGTGACCTCAGCCGCTCCTCATAAGCCTTTGCTCTTGAGACCATTCACTATCTTGGTTGCTCTTCTCTGGACGCGCTTTAACAGCTTGATGTCCTTCTTACCTTGAGGTGCTCCAGACTGCACGCAGCATGAGCACCAGTGCAGCGTGGAGTGGGACAATCCCCTCCCTCTGACCCGCTGGCTGCGTCCAGCCCTCTGCTCCATGCGCTGAGAGGCTGGAAGGGCCTGACGGAGCTTTGCAGGGCAAGTCTTGCCCTGTTTGGTTGGTTGTTTCAGCATAAATGTGAAGCGAGCATCTTTGCATGTGTGATTATTTTTGTTTGTTTGTTTGTTTTTTGTTTCAGCTGGAGGTTTCTCAGCTGGAGGGAAGTCTCCAGCAGCCCAAAGCACAGTCAGCCATGTCTCCTTATCTTGTCCCAGACACCCAGGCCCTCTGCCAGCACCTGGCTGTTGTCAAGCAGCTAGCCACCAGTGGGAGGTTCATAATCATCATCCCTCGAACAGGTATGGGGACTCTACATCGAATAACCGAGCCTGCCTTCCCTCTTTGCCGGGAAGGAAGCCCTGCAGGCCAAGGTGGTGGCTTTCTCTCCTGCTTGAAGTCCTTCACTTCAGCTGGAGCAGCTGAAACACCGTTTCCACGTGTCACTTTTGGGGCCTGTTTTATGTGTGGCCCGTGCTTGGAATCTAGCATAGTGTGTCGGAGAACAGCTGGAAAGAGAGAGGCCCCGTTCACCCTCCGCCCCCCCCCCGGGGCCAGCCGCTGCTGCTGTGCATCAGAGGACTGTTCAGTGGGATGAGGAATTCTTGGCACATCTGGGTTAGTTTGTAGAAGTATAGCTGTAAGCCAGATGTTTTTTCTTCTTTTTTGTTCTTTTTTTTTTTACTCCTGTTAGTGATTGATGGCTTAGACTTCCTGAAAAAGGAGAACGCAGGTGCTCGGGACAGCATCCGGTATCTGGAGGCAGAATTTAAAAAGGGAAACAGGTGAGAGCAGGAGTGTGATGCAATTTGCCCTTGCTTTTGGAACAGATGTATTTTGGGGTGGAAGAAAACGTCAACAGTGGGTGCAGCCTCTGCCCTTGGAGCAGGGCAGAGGAAATCCAGGCCTCAGGAATGCGCTTGGCGAGGGGGAAGGTGGTGAAGAAACAGATCTGGCAGCTGGTTCTCCAGATGCGCTTGTAGTTGCTGCTCAGCCATGAAATGTCGCTGCTGCTGAGGAGCACAGGGAGTCGTGTCCTTCTGTCGGTGTGTAAAACTGAGCAGCACCGTTTGCTGATGAGCTGGGAGAGCTGTACTGTGTTACTGCCCAGGTTAGCTGAAGTCAGTTGGCATCTCCAAAGCCTGTGTGAGGGCTGGTGGGCTTCCAAACACTCATGGTCTTGTGAACTTGCACATGGCGATGGTGATGAGACAGGGGAGGTGATCTAGGGGGCTTCACAGCACAAATGATAAATTATTTATAAATTATTGGGTGTTATTTTGGTTGACAAAAGCCAGCATTGCAAAAGGGTCCTGCAGCACCTGGTGGACCTGCTGTGGAGCATTGACTTTGCTCTGTGTGACAGTCTCTGTCTGAGCTCAGTGACTCTGATCTTTCCTTAGGTACATTCGTTGCCAGAAGGATGTTGGGAAGAGCTTTGAGAGGCATAAATTGAAGAGACAAGATTTAGACGCCTGGTAAGATTACAGCATCTGGAGATGGCTGAGCCTGATTCCCAGCAGGCAGGTGGCTTTGGGGAGAGGTGTTAGCACTGGGACCCATAGGGCAGCTTGCTTGATTTGGTGCTCTGCGTGAGTAATTACACCCTTCCCTAGAGAAAGCGTTAGTGCAGCCACGCATAGCGCTGGACATTTGGTGCTGAGGGTCTCGGAAAAGCCCTCAACGGAGAAACAGCCCTGCTTTCCACACGTCCTCCTGAACACGCATGAAACCGTTTGCACAAACAAGCCGTCTTCCCTCTGACTTTCCCCTCCGTTTCTCTTTTCTGGCAGGAATCTCTATAAAATACTGGACAGCTGCAAACAACTGACAGTGTCCCAAGGAAGTGGAGAGGATGACACCACAGGAATGGTCACCATCATCACGGGCTTTCAGCTGGAGGACCCAAGCACGTTCTCAGCACCCATGCAGGTCTGTAGCTCTTCGGCTGCCTCAGCCGAGCCTTTCTGCTTCCTAGCAAAGTTAAAATCTGGTTGATTGGCAAGAGATTTTTTTTTTTTTTTTTTTTTTTTTTAAAAATGTTTTCTGCCTTGGGTAATAACTGTCCTGGATTTCCCAAGTTTAGTTTATAAGTCATGGTTCCTGTTTCCTTAAAGGCCCCCTTGATTTGTCATGCTTTTGTGGTGTAAGGTATCCCGAGGGAGGTAGGAGAAGTAATTTGCATGTCTATGCAGGCCTCTCACGCCAGAGCAACCTCAGCATGAAGGAGAATTGGGCCTTTTAGCCATGACAGACTCTGCCTGAGAATCTCCAGGCTGTGAAGGGCAGCCCTCTTGACAGTGCAAAAAAACCCCAAAAAACCCAACCTGTTTTGTCTGTGTTTGCTTGCAGTCTGCTATCCAGGCAGCCGCCAATGCCAGCGTAGAAATAAAAAACGTTCTGGAGTTCTACAAGCAGTGGAAAGAGATGGGCTGATGTTCAGAAAGGCATCGGGTTGGTGTACCTTTCTCTCCCCCTCTCGGAACGTGCAGCGTCTGAACGAAGGAAACAAAAATCCGGACGACACTTAGACACGAAGAAGCAGCAGCAGCAACAATAACAAAAATATCTACCCAAAAAGAAAAAAAAAAAAAAAAAAAAAAAAAAAAAAAAGAGAGAAACCAAAACCCAAAACAACCCAACAAATCCAATTTGGGCACGCACATGGACACCCTCCACCTGTATCCCGACCAGACGGCTGTACATCTCCGACGGCGCCAACTGCTCTGAGAAGAGAGAGGCACCTCGGCATGGCCGAGGCAGAGCTCTGCCCTTCTCCCAGTCGGCAGAGATGGGCGAGAGACGGGCAGTCATTCATTCCCCCCCCTCATTCCTCCCCAAAAGCTTGCTCGGCCACCTGAAACGGGCAGGCGGCTTCTAAAGCGTGGACTTGACTTCAATGAAACCACACCAGCGCAGCAGAAACGGAGCCCTCCTAGCTTGGGAAAAGAAGATCCAAAGAGTGTTCAGCTCTTGTTTGGCAATCTGGTGACAGGAAAGCAGATAGTTTTTTGGGTTTATTTTTTTTGGTTTTTTTTCTGCCCCCCTCCTTTGAATTAATTATTTTTCAAGGGTTTTTTGTTTTTCCTTTTAATTCTTAGGTTTTATATATATAAATAATATTAAAAAAGAAAAAGCAGAGTTCCCTTGGGGTTCTGGATACTCTTCCAATGTCAGAGAGAAAAGGAAACAATTATGCTATTTAAAAGGGGGGGAAAGCTCTTAATATAATTTTTTTTTTTTTTTTTTCTTTGAACAAGCATATTTATTTCCTTTCCCTGTCCCCCATGGAGCGGGCTCAGTGCAAAGGGATGTTGGCCTGCAAGGAGAGAGTGGGCTGGAGTGCCCCCATGGGCTTGGTGCGCGTCCTTGCTCTCCTTAGAAGCTGCATGCAAGCAACAAGAGATTGGCCGGGCTGCTTGAGAGAGGTGAAAAGGACTCTGTTCCTCCTTCCCCTGTCCCTCCCGCTGCTTCGCTTCCACCTTGGAGAAAAGGAGCGGAATCCTGCAGAGCTGCTGGAAGAGAGAGAAGAGCCATGTGGGATTTAAACGCCGACAAGGCTCAATTGCTTGGCTTGAGCGCTGTGACCCTGGGGTGGAGCAGACATCTCCGAAACACCCAATGCCTCTCTTTGTTTCCCCCCCCCCCCTTTTTCTCTTCTAAATCTTGCAACGACGTGTGGAGGAGGAAGGAGGATCTCAAAGCCATTATCTCTTCTGCTGGTTGTTCCGACACACCGCCGCTGCTATGCCGTGCTAGAGAGGGTGGCAGAACTTGAGTGTTTGTATCCCCCGACCCCTCCCCCCCCCGCCCCAAAAAAAAAAAAAAAAAGAAGGGATGATGCTGTGTGGACAGATGCTGGAGGAGCTGATTCCCCAGGTGACCTGTGAGGGACCTTTCAGGCTTCCATCCTGACAGCATCTCAAGCAACCTGTGACCTGTGAGGGACCTTTCAGGCCTCCATCCTGACAGCATCTCAAGCAACCTGTGTCTGACATCCCGTCACGCGCTGATGCTTGGAAATGAAGAAACGGGTTGCTCCCGGGAGAGGAGAGCGGCGGGAGAGGGGCTGAACGGCCTCTTTGTAGTTCATCCGCGTCAGTGTACTCGAGCAACCGATGTCTCCATCCACATGAACTAACAGCAGCTATGCAAGTAAAAACCACTAGTCTTCTATGTTTGCGTGTTTTTTCACGTGGGCCAGCCAGAAGCTGCTACGCCAGGGGCATGATACGGAAAGACGAGTAACGTACTCCAATCTGTGCAGACTTCCTAGCATGATGCATGGTACTGGAGTGGCAAGGACGTTCCTTGTTTTCAGGTAAAAACTAAAAAAAAAAAAAAAAAACCAAACCAGCACAAGTCCCAGAGGATTCATTTATATTCCTGGTTCAGTTCCTGTAAAGCATGCAGCCTTGTAGCACAGCAGAGCGAAAGGCCGAGCTTTAAATTACAGCTGGAGCTGGCCCCGCAAGGTCTGTGCCTTGCAGGCTGCGAGGCAGGGGTGGGCAGAGTTTCCCTACGGGTTTTTCTTTTTGCAGCTTCTCCTGAAACTCGCGGTGCTTTTCTAGGCTAAAGCCAAGGAAACGACGTCAGCAGAACGGCAGGTCAAAGACTCGGGCTCATCTCGGGTGTTCTTAGAGGTGTGAAGTTAGTCAGTCGCTCTTTCCTCCAGTGCTACCAGTGGTTTTACTTGAAGCCATTTGTTTGTCTAGTTGGTTATTTTTGTTTGATGGGGTGGGAAAAGGGAATCGCCCTGTGGGACTTGGCCCAGAGCAACGGGGTGGAGAGCGGAGTTGCTGCCTCTTCTGCCCCTCTGTTGACTTGGAGGGTGCTGCTCAGTTATGCTGAAATAAGCTCCTTGCTCAGTGGGATGGATCGCTGGTGGACTGCTTTTTTTTTTTATTTTTTTTTTTTCCTGCTGCTTAAGAAAACCATCCACCTCCTTCCTGCAAAGCACAGCAGAAGGGGCTGCAGCCTTCAACTCCCTTCTGGAGGTCTGTTCCAGCTGAAGCCTGGCTGGTTTTGCTGTCCCGAGAGGCCCAATTGTCATTCCCTTCTGGCTGCGTAGCCAGAAAAGAGCATTGCTTGGCTGAAATTGGAATAGTGAGGAGCTGGAGGCCTTCCTCGGCTTTGCTCTGGGCCGGGTATTCCCTTGGCCGCAGCTGGGTCAACGCAAATAAAGCAGCAACCGAAAGGGAATGGCTGTCACGCTGATCACGAGGGTCTCGGTCCATGTAGATTCCCCAGGCTGCTGGGGGTGCAGGATGAGAGCTGGGGGCGGAGTGCTGTGGGGTCAGATGAGGTTGGTGCTGTCACTAACGGTGTGGCAGCGAG